GGAGCAAATATTGAACACCATGGAAGGTAATTTGAGCTCCAAAGCTTGATCAGTAACATACTCCCAATGTTCTGAATTGTGAGAGAGGTATAGCTTTGCACCAAATTAGGGTTTGGAGAAAAGGAATTTGGGAGAGAAGACGACGAATCGGATGCTATGCTTGAAGGAAATATCAAGATTCAACCAAATAGCCAAACAAAATACAGAGAGGTAAGAGAAAATTCACTAGAGATCGAAGAGGAGAAGTCGTGAGGCGATGAGGATCGAAGATTCACCAAGGTCGTGAGGTGGTGGCGATTGATACCATATTGAATCTTAGCTTGTAAGAAAAGTCAAAGATGTAAAAAATATCTTTTTCTCATTTCACTCACTTGCAAAATAATACATTTACATCAGTATATATGGATACAATTCTATTGACATAATTGACCCTATCATTCACAACTAATTACACATTGCCCTTGTCTAACTAACTCCAACTATACAACTACCATTAGACTCTTTATCACCCACGTATCGACCTAATATATGTCGAATTGAATAAAAATTGTTGATTTATTGGCCAAAATATATAGAGCGAATAATCTGAAACTTTTTAACAAGGGTAATGCTAGGGAGAATAGATTTTGTAAGTCAAATGATATGGAATTGAAGATTTGATTATTACTTAAGTATTGGGTAACATGCTTATTTCTTATTGGTGATACATCATTTAGTTTGCAAATTTAGTCTATAAATTTAATTTACTTGGCATTACTTTAACAACTTCACCCGATAGCGTGGATACGTTATAAATAGATTAAATTGTAGCAATGATCCATCAACTTTAATCAAATTAGAGCAATGGTCTCTCAACTCAAAATCTATTACCATTGGTCCAGTTCCTAAACTCATCAAAATGTGTAGCCATGGTTATTTTCGTCAATTTCGTTAGAATTTTGTCAAAATGAGTTATGTTAGAATCACCATTGCTACAATTGGGATCTCTCAACTCATCAAAACGTGAAACTATGGTCATTTTTGTCAACTTCGTTAGAATTTTATCAAGATGAGTTATGTTGGAAGGACTATTGCTACAATTGGGTTAAAGTTGAGGGACTATTACTCCAATTAGATTAAAGTTGAAGAATCATTTCTCTAGTTGGATTAAAGTTGAGGAACCAATGATAATTGATTTTTAGTTGAGGGACCTAGCTGCACGTTTTAATGAGTTAAGAGACTAATAGTAATGAATTTTTAGTTAAGGAACTATTGCTCAAATTGAGTTAAAATTAAGAGACAATTACTAGTAAAGATTAAATCATGAAAATACAATATAACTGGGTCCTCCATAAGTGCCTCCAAAATAAACTTACTTTAAATTTTACTTTTATTATCTAAGACAAACAATCGGTCTAATCAGACATGTGTTGATATGATATTTTCTTATTTGTATCGTTGCATCAATAGTTTTGTGGTCCCTCCAAGTCCACCGCATTGGTCCTACCACTCCTTATTTACAAAAGCGAAAAGAACCAAACTAGGATGATCTTCTCCGGATCCTCTTTATGAGGATCTTGGGAATTCTTAAATCATGTCCGTTCATCGTATATCATATGGTTAATTTTCGTTAGGTGCTATTTATATTTAATTTAAAATAATTGCACAAAGAGGATCCGGAGCAGATCCTCATTCAGAACCAAATATTGCATGTTTTTACTTTTACAAGTTATACCATTCCTCCTTTCCAGGAACAGTTATGCTGTTAACTAATGTTCTCATGAACAAGCATCAACATTGTTCTGAGAAATTAAAAAAAAAAAAAAAAAAGACAATATCATTAGATTCATTATAAATTTAATTTTCATCAATAAATAATAGTCCATATGGATTTAGATCCTCTCCTGAGCAAGGGAGACAAATCCTCCTGACCTAAACACACGGGCCGTTGGATTTTGATCCAATGACTACAAACAGGGGGCCCTTCTAAAAGTTACAATAATTGTAGCCGTTGGATCAAAATCCAATGGCCCGTGTATTTGGGTCAAGAGGCTCCATCTTCTTTGCTCAGGAAAGATCCAAATCCGGTCTATATATATATATATATATATGTATGTATGTATGTATGTATAAATTAACAAGTTATCTAGCTACCCTTTTCTTCATTAAAAACAACAGGAGTGTGTATTACCTAATAATGGGTGTTAAACTTTTTCATTTTTCATACAACAATATTCTTTTATAAGAAGATGAAAAAGACATTGGTACCAAATTATATTAGAAAGCGACGACTAATTTTGAAATTAGTGTTAAGCAGCACGTTGAATCATTCAAATTTTAACATCAAACTAGTCATGCATACGACTTCCTAGTTACTGGTGTAGAGAAATACTATTATACTATAGTATTAGTAGCATCCCAAATCTAATCACTCAGAAAATCATTTAGTTTGCTCGAGTTTTTACTTTCGCCCTTGTTGTTTCTGTTATTGCATTTTTGCCCTTGTAGTCTCATGTTGTTGCATTTTTGCCCTTGTTGTTTCATTTTGTTAGCATTTGTTAGTCTAATATGTGAAATAAGGCAAACCTTCTTCTAATTTGAGTTTTTCATATGAGAAGATGTGAAAAAAATCAACTAATTAAGTTGATGTATTGGACTAGGACTAGGGGTGGAAAAAAAATACAAATATCCCAAACCAAACCGAAAAAAACCCAAATCAGGTAAAGTTCACAAGCTAATTTAGGGTTTGAATTTTAATTTAGGGTTGGAATTCGAGATTAGGGTTTGTGAAATTTAGCACTTAGAAGATAAAGTAACTGCATACTGAGGGTTTTGGGGTTGAATTGGTGGTTGGAATTCGAGATTAGGGTTTCTCTTTTGTCACAGACTCACAATTGAAGCATAAATTTGTTACGGGTTGATAGTTTATAATTATAGCAATAATTGCAGCTGCTGAAATGAATTTCGAGAGTTGGTGTAAATTGATGAATGGAATTCAGAATTAACCGTGGGATTTTGGGATGTTTGTAATGCAGTGCCATAAATGTATTTACAATTTGTTTAGTTGTTCTTTTATATATGAAGATGTTGAACTGATGAACTGTCAAATACCCACATAATTGCACATCATTAGGTTAAGGAATCTTCAATTGTAATGCTAGATCATATATCTTTCCTCTCTGTTGTTATATTTGACCAGGTAGAATTGGGAGTCTAGTAGAAAACGTCTCTGACTCATCGAATTCAACACTTCACTTCTTTTAAGTGCCTCATCGAACATTTCTGCCTATATAAACAGTACGGTTGCAATAGTTGCTTTGATAATAGTATTTCTTATTTTTCATAAAAAGTATTTGTTTCTTAAAAACATTAGTTAGATATGAAATATGAATTCTCTTTATGAATAAATGACTCTTTAATTGTGTTTCCTCTTTATGAATATATATGAAGCTAGTCCTATGCTTAAGGAGAAAAGAAAATTTTCGATTACGTTTTGTACCGTTCTAGTCCTACTTTATTAATGGAATCCTTGTAACAGGAATACATGTCCTTTTCTTTTGATGTTGTTGGCTACCTTGTGTATATAACGTTTGCAAATTGACACTAGGAGGCCTTTCACCAACAAGAAGGGAGCAACCACAACCATCAACAAGATCAAGGGGCCGAAGAGGCCAACAATCTTCATAAACTTTAAGTTTTTCATTTTGCTTTTGGTTTGTAACTATTTTTTTTTGCTTTTGGGTTTGTTACTTCATTTATTTTGAAACATTGGCTTGTAATTAATTTTTTTTCTTTTGGATTTGTTACTTAATTTATTTTTGTTGCATGCATGTGTAGTACAATAAGCAGAGCAGATTGCCTATTGTGAGTAGGGGATATATGCAAGGAATTTGGTTTGATTTTATTTCTACAGAATAACTTGATCATTTCATTTATGCTTGGGAACTATAGATATGCAGATTGGCTGCACACTGCATAGCAGCACAGGCAAGTTATTATAGCAGAAGAACTAAAAAGCCCAAAAGCCTAAAAGAAAGCCCAAAAGCCCAAAATTATTTCGGGATTTCCGATTTGTCCCGAAATCCAAAAATTATTTTGGGATTCTCGAAAATTGGGATTCCCGAAAATTTGGTTTGGGATCAATCTTGAAATTGAGAATCCCGAAAATTTCAGTTTGGGAATCAGGACAACGTTTTTGGTTTGGTATCCCATACCGAACCAGCACTAACTAGAACTAGAAACAAAACGATGCTATAAAGAGAGAGAGAGAGAGAGAGAGAGAGAGAGAGAGAGAGAGAAACAGCTACTGTTTGATTTTTCTTAGGTTTGATATGCTTATGCTTTAGGAATTATGAGCATCTGTTGATTTATACATATTTTACCATGATCTGTAGGTTTATTTCTAGTTTGTTTGGTTGGTTAAATTTTCTTTAACTCTACAAATTTTCAGTAACGAAATTCTTGGTAGTGACTTGTTCATGCAGTAACTTAATCTTTTTATTGCTTACAAATAAGTGTTTCAGTTATGTAAATCGAGCTATATTTCTGAGTCAAACGTTTTGTGACATAATATTTACCTATGATATGGTCCACCTGTGGTTGACAGAAATGAAGGGCCCGAGGAAAGTTAAGCAAACTGTTTAAGCTTAAGCTTGAAGGCTTAAACCCACAAATAAAAACGCCAAAACACATAGAGGTGGGATATCATCATTCACCTACGTGTGGGTGAACAACGAATGGCATGCTGGTGGGATCCGTAAAGCATCGACATTGTGTGCGCTAGTTTTTGCACGTTGCTTTTCTTCGTTTTTTTTTTTAATATTTGCCACCCTTGTTTTCTAACCTAGTTAGGTTTCAACCCACATCGTACGATACCACAAAAAATAATAACAATCAACGCATAAGAAGCACATTTTTGCGGTGTGTTTTGTTTTGTTTTGTTTAGTATTTTTCCTTCGTTAGTGGGTGCGATGGCGGGTCCGAGAGATTCTCGTGTCCCAGGGCCCCAAACACCACATCCAGATTCCAGATTGGATATTCCATTTCGTCCACAAAATAAACGGCACGAGTGGTTTACTTTTGGCCAAGTTATTCACAGGTGCAGAAAAACGGAACCCCATTTCCTTTTTCACTTGCCTCTTCACCTCACCAAGGACCCAAGTAGTCAGTCCACTCACTCTCTTTAGAAACGTGCATAAATATCTGTCCTTCCCACACATGGAGTCCTTGCTTCACCCAAATTATATAGATTGTTCCACTGTCTTTGTCCTAAAACCACCTATGTGCCACATACACGGGGAACACAAACAACTATTAGTGTAATGACTTCCAGAATCCAAATCTCTATTTTTAAGTCGTCATTTAGTCATTAAATTAGCAGTAATTCATCAAATCAAGAATATTTATCGCTGCATCTAACGTTGAATGGTGAACGTTGAACTTTCTCTTCACGTAAAAGCAAAAGTACTTGTAATGAGTGAGAGAGAGTTTCTTGTTTTTGTTTTTAAGGTGAAATAGTAGAAAGAGAGTGTTTTACTTACGGAATTCGTCACATGATTCACAATATATGTTGTGTTTATAATCTAAAACATTTTTAACAATTCTAGAAGCAGTTTGACAAAAACTTTTTGAAGGAAAAGAACAAATCGTTATTGATATTTAATTATCTCCTTAATTACATATTTTACACAACAAAAAATTAACAAGGAACATAATTATTTTAATAGAAAGAGAAATAAATATCAAGCTTAAAAAATATTTAAAATTAAACGTTACCCAACTGATCAAATCGGTTGATCAAACTTCAGTTCTGATCTAATATTTTAAGAAGAGCAGCTTTGATACTCTCTTCACTTCTCATGTTGTCAGGCACCTTCACCACAACATCTTGCAGCATGAGCTCGTTCATGCACGACAAGCTCGCATGGTGGATCTCAAACTCCAAGTCACGCAGCGCCGCCATTAACCTAGCTGATGGGTAGTTCACATTCGCGGACTGAACCCTAATCATGGCGTCCGAACCTACTATCTTCACCTCCATCTCGAGCCCCGTAGACCCACTCGCCGACGAGTTGGGCGGCCGCGTTTGCTCCACCGACGTCGTGGTGCTCTGATTGTCCAAGTTGTCGCCGGTCTCGACTTTCACTTTCTTGGACTCTCTCTGCACCTGCGACTCCAGCTCGTCCACCTTGCTTTTCAGCTCGTTGATGTAAGAAACGGCATCGGACAGCAGCGACGCCTTGTCCATTCTCGACACGTTCGGCACCACCGCTCGCAGGGCGTAGAACCGGTGGTTGAGCTTCTCCCGCCGCTGCCTCTCCGCTTCGACATGGTTCAACGGTGTGTCTCTCCCCAGCCCCGGTTTTCGCCCTCGCTTTTTCGGCGTCCGTTTCGGAAACTCCGAATCCGAATGTTCCGGGTTAAGGCTATTCAAATTCGACAACTGGAGCAGACCCGGACATGCTCTTCCGCACTTCTTCTTCATCGCCGTTATGTCCAAGGCAACTTCCTTTTTGTCGTCTTCTTCCTCTACGCCGGCGATGATGCCAATGTCGGCGAAGGAGAAGTTTCGGTTGATTAAATCGATGGGGGATCTGGTTCCAGGGTCAGGTTGGCCCCAAACGACATCCGCGCCGAATAAGGATTCGGTTTGCTGAACCAGGTTCCCATTTTCTCGGATCAAATCTGAAGAGCCCAGCTCGAGAACTCCGGTGGGGGTTGGGATGCAGACTAGGGTTTGAATCCCATGCATTTGTGCTTCTTTTGCTCTTTCGCAGTTGTAGAATTGAAGCTCATGGCTTCCAGTCAGCCACACCAAAGATCCAGAGCTAAAAGCTTTGCCGGGAACATTAGTACTAATGCTTTCACCGACGGAGAAGGATCGAGCCAACGACGTGACGTAGAACCATTCCACGTCGGTGACGTCGGCGTTTAAACCCATGTTGTCGAGGATCAAGTCTTGATGATGGTTATCTGGATTGTTGGTGTCGTTGATGAGGGACTGGATGCCCTTGAGGATCTTCCTTCTTTCGGACAGAACTCCGTAGGGGTTGTGGTGGTGGTTGTTGGGTGATGCGTCTTTGGGGCCTTGGAAATGGCCGTCTCCCCAGGTCAGGAAGAGACAACCATTGTCCACCTGGCGGTCGTTCGAGGTTTGCCAGAAGATGGCGTATGACCACCAGTCTGGCTGGGATTGAAGAATGAATTGGAGCCTTTGTTGGAGGGATGGATGGTTTTCTTGAGGCAAGGAGACTAGGGACGAGGATGAAGAGGGGGAGATTATTAATTCTTCCATAAGTGGTGAGGCCAAAACTTTTGTTGGGAGATTGAGTTCCTAATTTAGTGGACACAAATCAATTGATACTTGGGGAGTGAAAGATGCTAGAGGAGTAGTTGAGCACAAAAAAAGAATGCTAGAGGGAGAGGGAGGTCCTTACAAAAAAGGTTGGGCTGGATGGGGTTTATATGGATATCCAGATTTTATGAGAGGGTGTGAGTGAGCAGTGTGAGTGTCTCATGTGGGGTCCAAGTTTGGTGTTGCTAGGGTTCAAATTTAATTAAATTGGCCCAGCGACTACAGGCCAAGAGAGAAACAGAAAATTAAAATCATCCATACAAAAAATTTACATAAGTTTATATTATAAAAATTTAATAATCAAAACTTTTTAATTTCTTAATCTGCATTTGAAATCCCCCATACAAAAAGCTTAACAGATCGTAAATTGCTTAGTTATTTAAGTGAGTTAAAATAAATCAACGAAGTAGATACCAAATAACATATTAATTATAAAGGATTCATTTGTTCAATATATTTAAATGACTCAACGATTTCAGATTTTATGTTTTTTTAAAAGAAGATGTTCAAATGAAAATTAAAAATGTTTCAATCGATTATAAAATTTAAGAATGACGATATGATATTTAAATGGGAGGAATGCAAACATTATTTTTAATTTAATATTGGTTGGAAAAATTAAACTCATAGAAGCTATAATAAGGCTTTGGCGGTGAAGTCACCATCGGGCACCACTAGCACGTGGAATGAAAGGGAAAGGCTTAGTGACTGATTGGGCCCCACACACTATTGTCCCTCGTAGGGTCTCTCTCTTGCATGAATGAATTGATTATGAATGATATGTTATAAATACATCAATTTTTATTTATTAGATAAAACAAGAAACAATTAATTTTCCTCTCCCTTCATCGTCAATTGATGAAACTACTTTTGACATGATACAAAAAATTTTGGTACGTTGTATGTACCAGCAAATAGTTTTAATAACTTGAGCAAGATTTTTCAAAATTTTACGTCGTGTTTTCAAAAAGAGTTTGAGATGAAAAACATAAAAAATGAATTAATTTTAAACATCTAAATAAAATTTAAATTTTGAAAAGATTGCTATGTAAAAAAGTAATTTTATTTTTCAAAAGAAGTAAAAAGTAATTGACTTCTTATTATAAAATATTAGGAATGTGATATCCACACACCTCTTTTTACTTATCCCACATCTTTTTAGTTTTCAATCTTCAGATTAGATGGATTGAGGAAGATCAACAGATATAAATTAACAAAGGGTGTGTGAAAGTAAAAAAGGGTGAGTGAATAGCGCACCCCTAAATGTTATTACTCCCTTTAATTGTTATGAACAAATAGTTATTGCATATAGTATTACCCTAACATATATATATGTATGCGTTCAAAAATATATAGTACCACATATTGTACTAATTAATTTACATATATGCAACGAGCAAATAAAGTATATTTTGTAAGTAAATTAATTTTGTAATATAATTTTCGTGACTTATTTAAGCATGTATTATTACATATGTTAGGCATGTTTTATTGTTATTATATATTATGCAATGAATCTATAACATTAATTTTTATTCTTTTTGTAAAATCATTAATCTCCTTTACAATCCCCATGGAATTAATTGTGTACATCAAACATTTAGATAGGGTATTTTAGACGTCCAAAAAAAATTTTAATCTGGAAAGTAAAATATAATTAATAAATTTGCTGATGTGGAATCTAGTCATTGGATGAGGCGTGGGTGAGGCGTTCGAGTGATAGCCCAGCCTAGGGATGAGGCGTGAGACGAAGCCTCACGAGACCTAAATTTTTTAATATATACACTGAGCGTACACATATATTATATTAAAAAAAGACTATTAATCAATAATCACCCTGAACACACACACACATATATACATATATAATAGAGGATGAAAAGAACAATGAGCACACATATAACAATGCACGCAGACAGCACACACATCCATTGTATAAAAAAAAAAAAATCAGAAAAAAAAAAAAAAAGGCAGAGAGACGGTAGTGCAAGGAAGAGGTATGAGGAAGTTAAAAGCTACCCAAAATTTGGGTTTGGAAGTAAAAAAAAAAATAAAAAAAAATCCCCTAAGGATCACCTAGGCGGCTCCGACGACACCTTCCGCCCACTCCCTCAAAACAGAGGCGGCAACCCTCATGCCCAGCCTCAGAGGACGCCTAGGCGAGCCTTTTAAAACATTGCTTTCAATACAAGTAAGTTGCAATTTAGAGAGTATAATACTCTCAATATGTTGTGGTAAATTTCAAGCCTAACAAATGGATCATAAATTGGGTGACTGAGAACACGCGTGGCTGCTACCATGAAGGAAATTGAAGTTTCACACTAAAACTAATTGGCAATATGAAAAATAGTCCAACTGTTTATTGTGTGATTTAATACTCTTGAGAGAGAGTAAAATCTTTAAAACGGTGGAATTTTTTATTGGAGTTAAAAATGAAACTAGTGTGGTGTTAGTTAAGCACCATCCCGTGTTCAAGTCATTTTCCTTGCACTAGTTAAACTCAAAGATTTATATAGCAATAGTTAAACTCAAAGCAGTAAACTTGAACTCATACGTAATTACATTTTTTCATTTTCACAAAAAAGATCTATATAGTTTTGGTATGTATCCAACCCTGACGTGATGCCAATTTTGCGAACCCTAAGAGCATTTTATCTTTTCGCTGTTTTTTAACCGATGTGGTGACAACACCAATGATTGAAATATTAGCACAACTGTATATATTTCAGCCGCTATATATCATCATAAAAGGTTTGGGTGGGAAGGGTTGGGTGTTGAAGCCTATTTTCATCACCATCTGGCGAAAATATATAAAGCGATTAATCCCAAACATTTTAACAACTTCCCCACCACCAATCACTCCAACCCCACCACTCCACCACCCCCCCCCCCTTTTTTTCTCTCTTCTCTCTCCTGTCGCCTCTCTCACATCTGAGAAATTTTTAATTGTGAGGGGAATACAAGTGGTACACCACATGTTTTAATAGGAGTAGTGGGAAATTTTATTTTTTACGTTATTAACTTTTTAGCACATATATCCTATCATTTGTATAATGATACGTGGTGTACCCATCTCATGTATTAGTCACATTAAAAAATCTCTCCCACATCCAGTAGTTACGATGTCCTAAACCTCAAAAAGGGCCCACCAACCATCAATGATGACGTTGAGGAGAGTAAGAGGACTGCGATGATACATGGTATACCATCTCATGTACTAGTCATATTAAAAAAATCTCTCCCACATCCAGTAGTTACGATGTCCTGAACCTCAAAAGGGGCCCGCCAACCATCAATGATGTCGTTGAGGAGAGTAAGAGGGCCGCGATAAAATCGTCGTTGCCCCACGAAGATCCAGAGGTTCTCAACGCATGGGAAGTTGGGAACTCATGGAGGGGCTCAAAGAAGGAATACCATCTCGTCTGCTCCCTCTCATTCCCAGCCGACAAAACCATGCCGAAACACCACCATATTTTCTAGCAAGACCAGATTCGGATTCGGTCTTGGCATCGTGGGCTTACCTAAATTGCACCAATTGCCCAGATTGTATGGGAAGATGGACGTGCTTGGAATTCATTTAGGATGCCTTAGATTTTAGCCCTTATAATTCATAATTCTTAGATAAAAACCCAATCTAATAAAAGTCCAAATTTAAAATCTGTAGCCACATCGGAACACTATTGACCTACTAATACAATTTATTTACGCCCATGCCACTTTTTCAAATCCCTAAATTTATTCCAAATTAAAAGTTCTAGAAAAAGTGAAATAAAATATATAAACTATTGTATTGCATTAATTGTATCCAAATCATACCAAAAATTTATATATATTTTGCATTAATTGGGAAGTAAATTCATTTGTTCCAATTTTTTTTTTTTAAAAATATACTAAATCCATATTATATATTTTGAATCAAATAACACTTCTCTAACTTGTAGGTAAATTATTTTTCATGTATTGTTACATATATTAGACACGGTTTATTGTTGTATAAATGTAGGTATGACATAATATTTTTCAATATAATACATCAAATTACATTTCTTCTTGTTATGGGTAAATTATTCTCCATGTAGTAGTGAAAAAAAGATATTATATTACTCACGGGGTATAATTTTTTGTAGGTAAAATATTGGAAATTAATTTGTAGGTAGGCAAATTAATTTGTTCCAATTATATAAAAAATATATATAATACACCTAGATTATATATATATATATATATATATATATATATATATATATTTGGAGAAAACCTAGATTATATATTTTGAATCAAATAACATTTTTGTATACAAGGTAGGTAAATTATTTTTCATGTATTATTACATATATTAGCCTATTAGGGACCTTTTTTGGTAAAAATATATAAAGTAATATGTTTATGATTGTTTGTAGGTAAAAAGATAAAATCAAAAGCATGATCCAATTCCTAAGTTTATACAATATCTTGTTGTTGGTATGCAATATTTTGCGTCATTGAAAATCAACATTTCAAATAGTAGGTATGTCACGTCCCAGCCTGGGCCCCTACCACATCCCGGGCTCGACTCCGCTGGGCGATGTTAGATGTAACAATCCACCCCCCATAGGGGCCTGACGTCCTCGTCGGCACACATCCGACTAGGGATTGGCTCTGATACCAAATTGTCACATCCCAGACCGGGCCCCCACCACATCCCGGGCTCGACTCCACCGTAGCACGATATTGTCCTCTTTAGGCCCCGACCACACCCTTACGGTTTTGTTTTTGGGAACTCACGCAAAAGCATTCCATGATGGGTGACCCACTGGGAAGTTCTCGTGTGAGTTCCCAGAATGGGGTGGATTGTTACATCTAAGGCTTACATACAAGGGGGGTGGAAGTTCTCGTGCTAGGTAGAGATGAGAATATACATATAAGGCTTACACAATCACTCCTCTGGGCGATGTAGGATGTAACAATCCACCCCCCCTTAGGGGCCTGACATCCTCGTCGGCACACATTCGACTAGGGATTAGCTTTGATACCAAAGTGTCACATCCCAGCCCGGGCCTCACCACATCCCAGGCTCGACTCCATCGTAGCACGATATTGTCCGTTTTGGACCCCGACCA